AGAGTGGCGTGCAGAGCGCTGGACCGGGAGCGAGCGAGAGGGAGAGGCGAGGCAGGCGATGGTGCTCTGCTCCCGGGACACAGGCTTATATCTGCTGGCCGGGGAGGGGGGGGCGCCTCCCCCCTGCGTGAGGAGGGGCCAGGCCGAGGGGGAGGGACGCCAGCCGAGCTCAGGACAGGACAGCCCCCACAGGTCAGACAGTACGAGCCGAGTCCCGAACAGCGCGCGCAGTCCAGTGGATCACAGTGCCGTCACACGCATACAGAATAACAGCACCGTATCCCACACAGCTTGTACAGCACGAGCGCAGCTTATTGTACCGCGGTCCAGTGGATCACAGTGTGTCAGGGCTCGGTACGGTATAGTACTACGCAGTCCAGCATCATGCCAACATGAAGACAGAATAACAGTGCAGTGCACGATAGCACAGTCTAGAATAATACAGCCCCGTAAACTTGTACACAGCAGCTAAGAGCCTTCTCCACTGCAGGGATGCAGGGGGGCCAGAGGCTATCCCAGCAAGGGACAGGGCACACGCACAGACACACTCACTCACACACCAGAGCCAGTTAACCCAGTGTGGGACGCAACCGGAGCACCTGGAGAACAGCCATGGGGACACGTGGGGGGACCATACAGACTCCACACAGGCACCACCCCAGGAACTGAACCCAGGGCCCCAGTGCTGCTAAACAGCAAAGCTGACCCCTGCGCCATCGTGCCGCCTGTATGGAGTACAGTCTAGAATTATAGAGTAAAGTGGAGTAAAGTGGAATTTAGCAGAGTTGTTGTGTATAGTAAGATGCAGTTTAGTGCAATGTGTATAATACAGTCCTGCGCATTATAGTACAGTAATGTTGAAACATTCAACAATCTCTCAAGCACGTGATATTGTTTAATTAAAATACTATTTCCTGAGTGGTTCGTTCATGTTTTTGACGTGCTTATTTATGTAAGCACTCAAACTGGGCTGACCTTTTCTATCCCACATATTTTGAAGCGCAAATCTCACAACAGCAGACTCTGGATTTGTGGTAATTAGCGAGGTTGAGGCTAATTGGTGACCCCTGTTGCCCCCAGACCCAAATCGTCGTGAAATCCCCACTGTGGAATATTTCAGTGTCCCAGAGAACAAAGGACCCTCAGTCCTGCAGCCACAATCCGCGGCCAGTCGCTGTGGTTTAGATCAGCCTCCCGCCACACAGACTGAGGCACTAACACCCTCTGAGGCACGTAACACCCTCTGAGGCACGTAACACACTGCACACACACTGCACATAGTCAGCACAGACAGTACTGTACACACACACTGCACACAGACAGCACAGACAGTACTGTACACACACTGCACACACACAGACAGTACTGTACACACACTGCACACACACAGACAGTACTGTACACACTGCACACACACAGACAGCACAGACAGTACTGCACACATACCGCACACAGACAGACAGTACTCAGACAGAGAGGTACCAGGATAGCAGGCAGGCAGATCTACAGAAGAAAACCAACAGACCAACAGGTACAGACAGGGTCCAGGGAGCTGAACCTGGCAGAAGTACCAGACTGCGTGAGACTGATGCAGAAAATCGAACGTCTGCTGTGAGCACATGGACAGGCAGTTCCAGACCTGGGTCTTACTATTACTACTACTATTATTATTGTTCTTAGTGTTATTATCTGTGTCCTTAGCTCCTTGTGGCAGCAGTCCCAGGTACTCTGGTGTGTGAGAGCCCAGTTCCCCAGCTGGGGGGGGTCACCGGCAGATTAGCGATTAACTGGTCTTGTGAAAAGTTAATTCTCTTGTAGAGTTAAACTGGGCATTACTGACTTAAACCACTTATCAGGCAGGCGCAATTAATGGAGAGAG